GCTCTGCGGCGCGGCGCTCGTCAGCCCTTGGGCTCTGCCATCTGCTACTCAGCGCAAAACAATTACACAATTTATTCATCCTAATTACGGCTTCCTGTTCGGCGGAGATTCATAGATTGGAGCACCAATGCAAATCACATGCTAATTGGGGGGGTGCGCAGAGCAAGGCGCCGTGTCCTCTCCCCGCGGACCGCGGGCCTCCAGGGGACACGGTACCCCCCGCCTTGGCGCACGTGGGGCTCCACACTGGAAAAGGCCCTAAAAATGGGTCAAGCAAATCCCAGGACAGCTTTGTCCCGCGGATATGTTGGCTTGAAGAGCGTGGCAGCTTCCTAAAGCGAGGAAACAGGGTCTGGTGCAAAAGTCCTGGACCACAGCTAGAAAATGAAGACCAGGACGCGACACTGGCTTTGCCGCCAAGTGCGAGGCCAGGCAAGAATTTTATACCCCATTTATAAATAAGGGATGTGTTATTTACTCCCTGGAAACCTACTGGTAGCAGGCTTTAATATTATTTCTGGATACAGTAGTGATTTGCATCCTAATTTCCCATTTCCTCCTTTTTTTTCTGGAGAAAAAAATAGGGCAAGCAGAAGAAAATAAGTGTTTAAATGATAACGCTCAGGCAAATACCAAGAGAACTGGTCATTTGTCCTGCTCTGAAGGAGTATTAATCACACCAGCAACACAGCTACATACCACAGGACACCAGTATTAATCTTGGTGGAACGCAGATTTGTAATACTCATTTCAACTAGTAATTAAAAATCTCTCTGACTGCAGCAAAACACAACATAGTTTAGCATATATGGGCATCTAACCACATCTAACCCCGCAAGGAGAATCCCTTTCTCTAAAATATTTAAATGGATAAATATTGAAAAATTAATCTCATCACTGAAAATCTTCTTGCTCTTTTTTTCTTGAATTTTAGAGGGATGTTTGTATTTTAAGGGAACAGGCATCTGGGAACAATTGCCTACCTGACTGTCATAAATCCCACATTAAAATGCACCAATCCAACGCTTTTTGCGTGCCCTGCCACCGTCGCTCCAGGGAGATGGATGGAGCACGGAGCAGCGCATCCCTTAGCTCCTACATCCTGCTCCTCCCTCTGTTGGGAAGCGCCTTGGGAAGCCCCAGCCTCTCCCTGGGAAGGGCCGGCTTCCCAGCAGGAAGGATGCCGAGGTTCCCGCGTTCCCGGCCGGCACATCCCGCCGGGCTGAGGCAGCCTGACCACGTGCCGGCCCGAATCGATCCATGGCCGCTATCAGGGATGCGATATTAAAGAGCTACTGTGATTCTGCTGCCAGCGAACCCGAGCAGAATGGTCCTTTTGGCCCCCCCAGCCCAAGAAATCACTAAAATTAGCCGTCTTCCAAGGAAAACGTGTTTCCTTTCAGAAAATAATTCCTCCGGCAGAAGTTGGATGAGTCGGGACCGGGAGCACAGCCGCAGCAGGAAGGCGCCCCCGAGGCTCCCTTGCACCCAGGCCCTCCCCTTGCTCCTGCCCTGCGCTCACAGCGCTCCGGCACTCCGGAGCTTCCCGGGAAGGGGCAGCAGCCCCAGGGATCCGCAGGGAGCCCGGGACACGGGCACGGTGCACGGAGGCAGCTCTGCCAGCTCCCGCTCCAGCCTTGCGCAGCGCATGTTTTATGGAGGAGCTTCCCCTGCCAGAATTCCCTCTCCTGAAAGGCCTCGGAAGCGCGTCGGCTTGGAGCGGCCCTCGGCTCTCCTACCTCGGGCGCGATGTAGTCGGGGGTGCCGCAGAAGGTCTTGGTGGTCACCCCGTCCCAGATGTTCTCCTTGCACATGCCGAAGTCGGCGATCTTTATGTGCCCCTCGCTGTCCAGCATCACGTTGTCCAGCTTCAGGTCTCTGCCAAGGGACAGGAAAACGTTTCTCCAAAGGCCACGGGAACCCACGCAGGAAAGGAGCAAGTTCCCCGGGCCACACACGCCTTGCAGGATGAGGGCAAGGAGTAAAAACAAGCCAGGGCTTTGCCAGGACCAACTATTTTGCTTTTAACCCCCTGGACACCACATGCTGGGCAAATCGCTCTGAGCTTGTGACCAAAAACAGAGCAGGGAACCGGATTTAATACATTGTTTCTTATATCTAGGAAAATCATGGTGCATTTTGAGCTCTCCAGCAGCTAAGAGCCAAGTAGCTACTCCATGAAACTCCCTACCCATCTCCGTTACTTCCTCCCCTAGAAAATACAAATTGAGGGTGTTTCAGTGCCTGGCCCCATCCGCAGAGACTCGTGGACAGAGCATGAGGGACCGGCACTAAAACGCCAGCAGGTTGTTTGCAACGTTGGAGTGTTTCACACGCACCACACAGTTAAGTGCTGCTGGAGCCAAGAATGTTTGACATGCAAAACTGTGCTTTAAATAATTCTTCTGCTTGGCATACTCTAACTTTGTTCAGTAGAGTACAATAAAAGGAACAGCATAATTTACAACTTCTTGCTGTTTTTTAAGATAATTTTTTCTAATTATAGTGTCAGTGCTTAGAACCCTGATGGGCCAAAGACAGATGAACACAAATCTGCATTCAGATATGGAGGAAGGAAGGGGCACTTGGGACTGGCAGACCCAGAATCTTTCTCTGCAGCAGCTGATGGCAAAAAACATCCCTCATGTCAGGTTTGCTCCACTTCTTTCATCTTCAGAACCGTTTTCAGCAGCTCAGAACTTTGCTAGCACAGTTGGCGTTTCTTTTTGCGAGGCGGTTAATGGTATCTGACACTGATTGGGATGTTCTGCTCTACCTTGGGCTTTGGGGATTCTGGCGAGCGGGAAGGAGCTGCCCGAGCTCCAGCGCTTTAACCGGCGCCTCGAGCGCGGCGCCCGGCTCGCGGGGTCAGACCCAGGATGCTCCAAGTCCTATTGCGAATGTAGGAAGAAGTGCAAGTGTCTGAACTACAAGTGCCGGGTGTGCACTGCAAATCTTGGAATAAACTATTCCCAAGCACGTGCACTAACGGTAACACTAAGGAGGGAGCGCCCCGCAATAAAACACACGGTTCGGATTCGGTGCACGCTTCCCACTCGCATGGGAAGAAGCGCACGCTTGGAGGCAGGGACGGATCCCAGCTGCTGCACGTGATCTTCCTGTCCCAAAGCGCCGTCTTGGAGCCGCAGGGGCTGCGGGGGCCGGGCAGCGAGCTCACCTACCGGTAAATGATGCCTTTGCTTTGCAGGAAGAAGAGGCCAATGGCAATTTCTGCTGCAT